TCTGCTCGGGGCGGGGCTCTGGGGGCGCGGAGATGAGCTCCGATCGCCTGTGTCAGACTCCGTGCCTCCTGCCGGAGCCTGGCTGCGTTCGGGGCAGCCGTGTTACACGCGCGGCCGGAGACGTCAACTAACCGCGTCTCGGCCTCAGGAGGGAGGTCCAACCCGAGTCTGCAACCAGGTGTCTGGGACCCTGAAGGGAAGCTCGTCTGCTCAGCAGTCTGCGTGCTGCCCCTGGACGGCAGGCGGGGTGACTGCGCGCGCAGGGCTGTGCACCCAGGAGGGTGCTTCCCACGCTCCCGCCCAGGCCCGCCTTTCTACCCCCCAGAGGCCCCTCCGCGAGCTTTAATGCACCTCTGTGTATATTGTTCCGTCTCTGCATTTATGAGCAATGAGAACGCAGAGCTGGCCCTGCGCGCAGCTCGGGCGGTTATGGCATCCTCTGGATATGCCAATACTGAGGGTTCGATCCCTGGTCGGTACATACAAAAGTCAGCCAGCGAATGCGTGCATAAGTGAAACAACGGATTGATGGTTCTCCCTCTTCCTCCCTTAAATCAGCAAGTAATTTTTTTTTTTTAATCTCTCCCTCCCGGGAGCACGCCTGAGCTTAGGCAACCCAGCTGGCTCACTTCTACCTCTGTAACCTTGTAAATAAATTTTGTCTTTGAACTGGAAAAATAAAGAAAAGGCAAAGCAGTTAGGAGAGCTCTGTAAAGCACTGTCCCGAGTCTATCACATTTCTGTCTCTTCAGACCACAGTGGCATATACATCACAGCGTCCTCGCGCGGGAGAGGCGTGAGGTGGTGCCACGAATTACCCGGTCATGGTGGGTGGCAGAGCTACGACTGAACCCTGGGTCTGGTTCAGTCAGTAAGCATCCACTGAGTGCCACGTGCAGGGCCCTGGGCAGGGAGCTGGGCTGGACGCAGGTGCTGCGCTGGCTCCTGGCTGCAGGTTGTGGGCCCGTCCCCCCTGTACCCCCACCTGTACCCCGTGCTCCTCCGGGGCTTGCGACCCCAGGCCAGTGTGAAACTCCCTAGGTCTGGCCTGGAGGCCCAGCAGGTGCGGCAGCTCCGCAGCAGAAGCGCCTGCCACAAAAGCAGAGGACGACTCCTTTCTCCAGTGGTTCCTGCTTCTCATTCCGGTGACTGCCTTTGGCCTGGGGACATGGCAGGTAGGACTGGCCTCTAGCTCTTGTGGCTCTGAGCCCTTGGCCCGCTGCCGTCTGCTTGGGCTTATGCTGTTTCCGTAGGTCCAGCGTCGCAAGTGGAAGCTGAAGCTCATCTCGGAGCTGGAGTCTAGAATTATGGCTGAGCCTGTCCCTCTGCCCGCAGAGTGAGTGCGGGGCTGCGGCCTGGGGCTCCTCGCACTGCTCAGCAGTGGAGCTGCTTCTGCTTGGGGTCCTGGCCCTCGGATGGGCGCCCTTGGGATGGGTGGTCCTGCTGGGCTTCTTGCTGACATGGTCGCCCTTGGGAAGCTGCCTGAATTATAGAAAAACCTGTGCTCATGGCCCCCTAAAGCAGTAACGCTTAGCTGGAGGGCGAGAGCAGGCATTGTCACGTGGTATTTTGAAAGTGCCCCAAATGATGCTACTGCCCTAGAGGAACGGCTGTATTCAACAAAGCCTCCATTTAGGGGCGCAAACCGGTGCTCGCAGGGGGTTTTAGCCACACTGATCAAGTCTATGAGGAGTCCCCCTTCTGGCTTCTCATGAAAACGTGGACTGTGGGGCAGCACAGAGCCGTTCCCACTCGACACCCGAGGGGTCAGCTTCCCTGTAGCGGGCACTCCCATCACCCCAGCCGTCCCACTCATCACCCCGTCACCTCGGGCTGCGGTGGGCTTTGTAGTTTGCAGCCCTGAGGGTTTCTCTCCCTCCCAAACTGTTTGGCTTCAGCTGCACTTGTCCCCTCCCGTGCAGCCCCATGGAGCTGAGAAACCTGGAGTACAGGCCGGTGAAAGTCAGGGGGCACTTTGACCACTCCAAGGAGCTGTACATGATGCCCCGGACCATGGTGGACCCGGAGCGGGAGGCCCGGGAGGCGGGCCGGCTCTCCTCCTCGGCCCAGAGCGGTGCCCATGTCATCACCCCTTTCCACTGCACCGACCTGGGGTGAGTGACATGCAGGGAGCCTGGATGTGGACAGGGCAGCTCTTCATCTTCCCTTCTCAACCCCCAACCCTGGGGAACTAGGTTTGATTCCATCAAGAGTTTGAATTTGTAGCCTGGACATGAAGCTGATTCATTGAGCTCAGGGGGTCCTCAAACTACGGCCCTCGGGCCACATGCAAATACAAATATTGTATTTGTTCCCATTTTGTTTTTTACTTCAAAATAAGATATGTGCAGTGTGCATAGGAATTTGTTCATAGTTTTTTTTTAAACTATAGTCCAGCCCTCCAACGGTCTGAGGGACAGTGAACTGGCCCCGTTTAAAAAGTTTGAGGACCCCTGATTTAGCTTATCACTGCACAACTCCTGTCCGCTCTGAAAGGGAAGCGAGAAATGTCTGTCCAGTGGCCACTTCATTAAATGATGGCGCAGCATGAAGGGATAGTGACAGGAACTCTGGAGGGAGCCAGCTCAGGGAAGGTGTCCCAAGGTACTATTTGGGCGGGACTTGGAGTGAAGGGAGGAAACAGCGCAGAAGGGGCAGTGCAATAGAGCAGCCTCCCCAATGTCAATGGACAAATGAAACCCTGGGGGCCCTGTCACCACAGCCTCCTGGTTAGGTCAGGGATGGGCCCATTGGTCTCTAGCAGCTGCCCCTCTAGTCTCCCCTGGTTAGAAGGGGAGATTGGAGGCTGGCACAGGCTGCTGCACCCAGTCCTTCAGAGGGGAGGGAGCCTGAACCCAGGCCCTGGTGGGCATCACTGGTTGCATGTTGCAGGTGTGGCACAAGGAAGATGGGGGGGGCGGTGAGGGACAACCTTGGCTTCCCTTCCAGGGGTTGGTGGCTCTTACCAGTCAGGACATGGGCACAGGAAGACCTCCCCAGGGGCACACAGCCTGTCTCCACTGTCCTGCTTTAGACCCGCCCTGGCAGCGTCAGTTCCTGAAAACGCAGGAGCCAACAGCGATCATCTCTCCAAACTCTTTCCCGCCTGAAACCTCGCGCTTTCCCCATCTAGGATGAGCATCCTGGTGAACAGAGGGTTTGTCCCCAGGAAGAAACTGAATCCCGACTCTAGGAAGAAAGGCCAGGTAAGGGGCGGGGGGCGGGACACCTGTTCCCCCAGGTGAGCAGGGCTCTGGGAGCCCTTCTCTGCTGTGCCCTGAGGGACAACCTCTCTTTTTTAGATTGAGGGAGAAGTGGACCTGGTTGGGATGGTAAGGCTGACAGAGACCAGGAAACCTTTTGTCCCGGAGAACAACCCAGAAAGGAACCACTGGTACTACCGGGACCTGGAGGCCATGGCCACGCTCACAGGCACAGAGCCCATTTTCATCGATGCAGACTTCAGTACGTGGTGCCCGGCCCGGCTTCCCAAGAAGCGGTAGTCCGTTCCTGTTGTTTGCGCTCTAGTGTGTGTGTGGGGGGGGGCGGCTGTACACCAGGTACAGGTGGAAGGTCCTGTTGAGGTGACTTGAAACTGGGAGAGATGGATGGTTAGCAAGGCCCCAAGGAAGCAGCTGGCCAAGTGGCTGGAGGGAGACCAGTGCCAACACTCAGTGTCTCTACAGAGAGCACAGTCCCTGGAGGACCCATTGGCGGGCAGACCAGAGTGACCCTGAGGAACGAGCACATGCAGTACATCATCACCTGGTGAGTCCCCACCTCTGTGCACTCTGGCCCCTCCCCTTCACAACTGTTCACTGACACTTTCTTACAACCCGAGGTATGGACTCTGTGCGGCCACGTTGTACCTGTGGGTTAAGAAGTTCCTACGGTGGATTCCTGGCACGTGACGAGATTACTGATGTAGCCTGTCCCGGGAGTCACTGAATAAATATTCCAACAGATTGGATTTAACTGGGCCATGTGCTATTGGTATAAATAAATCGCCGCTACCTGAGTGACCTAGTTACCTGGTCGATCAGGAAACCCAGGCTTGGCTCAGTTCAGTGTTCAAGTCCACGATGGCCAAGCAGCAGGTTCAGACAGCTTTTTCTGAATGGACCCACACACAAAGCAACTTGCACAGTAGTTAGTTCAAGGCCCCTGGTTTGAAAATGGACTTGCTACCACCCCAGACTTCTTGCCGGCAATAAATCACCTTCAACCCCAAGTGACCAAGACACTGATCGAGGAGAATTTTTATTACTTTTATGTACAGAAAACTCAACAGTGCACACTTAGCCCAGCTTAGTGGCCAGCTCCTTCGCCTTGGCCTTCTCCAGCTTGGCAATGCGAGCCACTGACTTTGGACCCAGGACGTTGCCTCCCCAGTGGCGGCGGATCTGCAAGGACAAGAGCAGAAGTCAGTCTGGCCCAGCGGTTCGTGGTTGGCACTGCTCATGAAGAGGCAGGCAGGCCTCTGGCTGAGGCCTGACTCACCGAGACCGCGCTGTACACAAAGCGCTTCTTACCTCGTCGTATCTGTCGTTGTAGTTGGTCCGGATGGCCTCCACCAGCTTCGCCAGAGCTCCCTTGTCTTCCCTAAGGAGACGGGGATGTGGGTCAGACTACGGGCCCTTCCAGAGAGCGGAAATGGGGCCTTGTTGGCTCCAAACAAAACAAGCCTTTTGCCTCAGACACAACATGACCACATGATTTATTCAGGTGAAGAAATTCGTCACCATCATCGGCAAAGGTTCAGATAAATGTATTTATTCCTTTAAGCTAGAACATTTGCTCTTTCAAGATAAGATCCAAAGAGATGACGTGAACTGGGGGGTGGGGGCAGAGTGGAGGGTGGGAGCAGGCTGTCCCCTGTGCACACTTGGGGTTCAGGACCAAGCTGCATACTTACGAGTTAACCTGTGTGAAGGCAACGGTAGTGCAGGTCTTCCTGTGGACGAGGCGCCCCAGCCTGGCCTTCCCCTTGATGATGCAGTAGGGGACCCCCATCTTCCGGCACAGGGCGGGCAGGAAGACCACCAGCTGGAAGACAGCGTTAGCTCAGAGTGTAGTCTGACCAGAAGCGATGATTTAAAAGTTAGCTGGGCAGCAATTGCTCAGGGTTAAAAAGCTCATGTATTTGCACTTCAAGGATTAATTCAGTGAGAAATTCACATCATTGCAAGAGCCACAAGATAAGCTGGATCCCTCGTCAGTACTGTCCTCAAATGAAAAGCTGTCAGTCAGACTCAGAATTAAGCTTTATCTGTAGGTACCGACATAAAGACCCAGTCTCAGTTCAGCAGCCAGCGCTCACACGAGGCCCACGTACCTCGATGGGGTCCACGTCGTGCGCTATCACCACCAGCTGGGCCTTCTTGTTCTCCACCAGGGTGGTGACCGTGTTCACCCCTAGAACACACAGCCAGTCTGCATGAGTGGGGTGCATGGATGCTCTACATCCAGGGCCCAGCTATGCCTCGGGGTGAAGAGGCTCGATGTACTCTTCAGTGATTGAGATGAAGAAGCCCACGCCTAACTACTGACAGCCTGCCCCCCGCCCCCGCCCCCATCCCCTTTAAGGAGAAACCCACTCACCTGCTCGGAGGACAGGAGGCCTCTTGGTGGGAACATCCCCTTTGCCGGCAGCTTTTTTCTCAGCCCGAGCCAGCAACCTCTGCTTCTTCTCTTGCTTGGTCTCGGGCCTGTACTTGTGGGCCAGCTTCAGCAGCTGAGTGGCTGGGGAGAAACTACCAGTTTAGGCTCTAGGCCAGTGGTTCTCAACCTTCCTAATGCCGCGACCCTTTCATACAGTTCCTCATGTTGTGGTGACCCCCAACCATAAAATTATTTTCGTTGCTACTTCATAACTGTAATGTTGCTACTGTTATGAATCGTAATGCAAATATCTGATATGCAGGATGTATTTTCATTGTTACAAATTGAACATAATTAAAGCATAGTGATTAATCACAAAAACAATATGTAATTCTATACAGTGTTTTCCGATGGTCTCAGGCGACCCCTGTGAAAGGGTCGTTTGACCCCCAAAGGGGTTGCGACCCACAGGTTGAGAACCGCTGCTCTAGGCTAAGTGCTAATCTTTCTCCCTTTGAGTAAGAAGCGTTAGGTGTGAGTTGCACTTCAAGAAGCCTCAGTTATGCCACCTTCGGGGTCTGGAAACTAAACGGGGAACCCCGAATCCCTCCCAGCGCTGGCTTCGAGCCACAGCACCTACCTGTCTGGCGGTCCAGGGCCTGGGTGAACTGGTTGATGGCGGGCGGCACTTTCAGCCGCTTGTAGAGAATAGCCCTTTGCCGCTGCAGCCGGATGTAGCGGGGCCACTTGACAAAGCGGGTGAGGTCCCTTTTGGGCTGGATGTCCTGTCCTGCGAGGGAAAGGCCGCCCTGAGCGAGGCTCTCACCTGCTTCCCGCCTGGGGCCGCGGGGGCAGGTGCATCAGCGGTCTTGGTGGTTCAGCGTCATCACGTCTCGCAGAGCAAACGTCCTCACATCATCTGCACGCGGCCGTCGCCGCCCCCCCAAGGGGGCAGCGTAGGACCGGGGCCCAGTTTATGGCCACAAAGCGGCAAACGGGGCATCCCCATCCCGTTGGTAAGGACCTGGCCCGTCAACAAACGCCGCTCTCCGGGGCGGCCCTGCCATCTCGCCCCCTCCTCACTCACCGATGCCAAAGTTCTTGGGCCGCTTCTCGAACAGGGGGTTGACCACCTTCTTGGCCTCCTGCTTCTTCACGACGGCAGGGGCCGGAGCCACCTTCTTCCCCTTGGCCTTCTTCCCCTTCGGCTGGGCAGAGGAAACCCCGTCAGCCTCCGTCTCCCCCGCCACCCCACCCCCAGCTCCTCCGGAGGCGCCGGGCTCG